TGTTTTTCTGTAATGTTTTTCTGCAATATTACTTTGTTATTTTAAAAATCAAAGACACGTGATAAGAACTGAGTAAGGCTTGTAGACTGACAGTGCTGTTAACGTTCTGGTTTTGATACTGCATTACGGCTACATAAGACGTTGCTTTCTGGGGAGGCTGGGTGAAGCACACACAGAACTCCTCGTACTATTTTTTTGCAACTTCCCGTAAGTCTATAGTTATTTCTAAATAAAATGTGAAAAAAATCAAATGCAGTCTCTATCCTCTAAGACTAGTGTGAGAAAGATAAATGTATTTATAAATAACTTTAATATAAATTCTTGGTACAAAAAAGGGCTATAAGCATTTAGAAAGGTGAGGAATTTTGATTGTTATAATTTATTTTTAAAGAAGCGGAATTTAAGCTGGTCTCAAAAGATAACAAGGATGGAAGGGAATTTCAGGCATAAGGAATAGTATAAGCAAAGCCTTGAAACTGAGACTGCCCAGGGCAAGTTCACAAAATGCCAAGTGCGAAGTAATAAGAAATATATATATTGGTCTTGTCCCTGGTTCTTGACATAGAGCTCCTAAAATCCTTATAAATAAGGGTGTTAGGAGCAGCTTTAGATCCTGGTTTCTGACACAGAGTTCTTAGATCCCTTGGAATTTCCTAGGTGACAGCAATGTCTTTTGTTCAAATGAGATGACTCTTCCGTGGGCTCCCGGATGAGAACTGGTCACCAGAAAGATCAAGCCATGATTGGAAGCTTGGGATTTTCAGCCCCACCCCCCATTCTCCAGAGAGGGGAGAGGGACTGGAAGGGGTTGTGATCAATCACGCCCGTGATGAAACCTCCATAAAAATCCCCAAAAGTACATGGTTGAGAGAGCTTCTGCGTTGGTAAACACATGGAGGTGCTGGGAAGGTGACATACCCCCCAACGCCATGGGGTCAGAACTTCCTGTGCTTAGGACCCTTTCAGGCCCCACCCCCATTTTTCTCTTTGTCTGGCTGTTCATCTGTATCCTTTTATCATATCCTTTACTATATAATAAACTGATAAACGTAAATGTTTCCCTGAGTTCTGTGAGCTGTTCTCACAAATAATCAAACCCTAAGGGGTAGGGGCAGGAATCATGAAAACCTCCAATTTGTAGCCAAACTGGAGAGAAGTTGTGGTAACCTGGGACCGACTACTTGCAATTGACATCTGAAATGGGGTGGGGGCAGTGCTCTGGGCCTGAGCCCTTAACCTGTGGGATCTGACACTTTTTCTCCAGGTAGAAAGTGTCAGAACTGAGTGAAATTGTAGGACATCCAGCTGGTGTGAGGGAATTATTTAGTGTGAATAACCCCACACATTTGGTGTCAGAGTGTAAAATTCTACTCAGCAAGTAAGGCTGGCATGGTGACAACACAGGAGCTGGGCCTTGAAGGAAGCAGCACTGCTCTAGATCATTCTGTTCTTTCAGACTGTACCACACAGTTTAATGTTTAGGACATTCCAGTGATTTGTAACTTTTTAAAAAGTTAAAAGTTGTAAGGTGTATACTTACACCTACCCCAGAATACTAGGCACTCAAAAGGTTGAATGAATGAACAATAATATATTCATATATATGACAGAATAAATGTTAGAAAAACTAAAAATTCTAGTAATAAATAAGGTTGAATGTTTAACAAGAAGAACTAAAGAACCTTAGAAAAAGAGGATTTAGAAAGCAATGCATCAGAATCTAGTATAGGAATCTCTGCATCAAGCTGGCTAGGTGATACGGCCTCCCTATCTGGAAATTGAGCTAAAGGACACGGAGAAGAGGAGGTTTGAAAGACAATGCTGCATGATGGTTAAGAGCATGAGTCACTTAACCCTGGATTCACACCCTCCAACTACAACTATCAGTATGGGGAAGATATTTAACCTCTCCAAGAATCAGTTTTTTATCTATAAAATGAACATAATATAATCTCAAAAGATTGAGGATTAAATGATAATAAAATTTAAATATTCAGCAAAATGCCTGGCACATAGTAACCCTCATGGAAAGCCACTAAAATTGGCAGCTCTGTCATTTCCTAGCTGCATAATGTTGGGCAAGTTACTTTACTCTCTAATCTTCTGTTTCTTCATTAATAAAGATAGTATCTAGTGCATAAAGTTACTTTGAGAATTAAATAAGATAGTATATATGTGCTTGGTACATATTAAATTGCCTCAATAAATGCTAAATTTTATTATTATATTAATTACTCAGACTCAGATCTGTGAGGCATCCAGGAGAAGTGATTAAACTAAGGCCTGAGGCTGCAGTGAGAGCACACTGAGTGAAATGAAAGAAGCCTGAAATTCTGAAATTGGTGAACTATTAGGAGATTAACAAGAGAGAGCTAGTAAGTGTTAGGATAAAGAGAAAATCAGGTCATACTCTGATGTAAAAGAAAGCATTTTAAGAACATGTTTGGTGTTACCAAATGCTACAAAGATGACGAGCAGCACAGGATGAAAAGGTCACTGAATTTTAACAATAAGGCGCAGTGCACTCTACTTCTTCCTTATCTATTCAGTTAGATGTTTGTCTTGTTCTCTTATTTAAATTGCTTTCTTGAAGCAAACATAGTTTACTCTTCTCAAGAAAGAGCTGAGAACAGATTCTGCCCTAAAACATAGCCAGTGGTAATGTCAATCTAGAGGGAATCACACCTGGAACAAATGTGGCCTAGTTTTTAAATTCACTTTAATTGTACCTGCTGTCATTTTAGCAATGCAAGAATGACCAAAGAAGAGGCAAAGAAAGTGGCAAGAAAGTAAGGAAGAATAGTTACATGTCCTAAGATAGTGGTCTGAGTTCAGTGATCAAACGCTGACAAGAGGCTTAGCACATGCCAGGCCAAGTGAAAGTCACCCTCAGACTCTCAGACTAAGAGTCAGGGTATCTTTATTTTGCTCCTATTTAATACTAATGTGTTGTTTGACCCAGGAAATTGTTTCTCATGTTGTGAGGTTCTAAAAAGAAAGCAAACTCCTCAAAGTCAGGGATTATATCTTAGCTTTTGTATGTTCCCCCACCTTACTCCATTCAGTGCCTAGCATGGGCTCTGTATGATTTAATGTTACAGCTGTGTAACATTAAAAGATATTTGGAAAGACTTAGTATGTTCATATATCACCACATTATTGTTATCAGAGGTCTTAGATCCCTCTCTACACTTTAGGCTCCTAGACACAGAAATTAACACTGTGCGTTCCTCACACACTGTTGAGAGCTCAATAAAATGTTACTGAATGAACTAAGAGTACCATGAGGCATTTGAAAAAAAGAAATTCCATCTTCAGAGTTCTAGCAAACACCCTAGACCTTCATTTCTATTTTCACTTCAGAGCCTTTCCTAAGGCTAGGCAAGCAAGCACTGTGCCAAACGGACTGCCCATGGGAAGACTGGGGTTGCACACACCTGTGTGGATGCGCAGGTGGTTCTTCAGATTTCCAGCTGTGGTGAACTGCTTCCCACAGCTGGACTCGGGACACATAAAGGGCTTCTCCCCATTGTGGGTCCTCATGTGCACCTTCAGCCTCTGCAGCACATAGAAACTTTTTCCACAACCTTCTGCAGGGCAGATGAAGGAGCGGTCATTTCTGGAAAAAAAAAAAAAATCCCATGAGCAACAAGACCTGAAAATGCTCTTTGCTAGAGAGGACAAGTCAAGGCTTCTATTGAGATTCTCAGGGCAGATG